ACTATAAGTAGAACTACCATTTGACTAGCAATCCCACTACTTGGTATGTACCCAGAGTTATATAGCATGGAATATTATTCAGCCATAAAAAGGATGGAAATAATGGCTTTTGCAGCAACCTGGATGGAGTTGAAGACCATTATTCTAAGTGAAGTAACTCAGGAATGGAAAACCAAATATTTTATGTGTTCATTTATAAGTGGGAGCTAAGCTACGAGGATGCAAAGGCATAAGAATGATATGATGGATATTGAGGACTTGGGGGAAGGTGGGAGAGTGATAAGACATAAAATTGGGTACAGTATACACTGCTTGAGTGATGGGTGCACCAAAATCTCAGAAATCACCACTAAAAAACTTATCCATGTAACTAAGAACCACCCATTCCCCAAAAAGTGTTGAAATAAAATAAATTTTTAAAGAAGACCATTTTTTAAAGATGATAAAGATAACATGTTTATGCAAAAAAGAGAAGCAAGAATAGTTGGAGCTGATTTCCTGGGTACACAAAATAAATGAAGTGTACTGTATACACAAGTGGAGGCATTAGCCTGAGACAGGATCGTGAAAACTTCATTCAAAATAATAAATCATCACCTGTGGGGAAGGATGGAGAGAAAATATTGAAGATTTGAAAAGGTACTAGAACATCCAACAGAGTGAAAGAGTAAATTAACTAGGGAAATATAGTGAAATATAAACTCAAAGAACCCCCTTGCATTTAGTGATAGTTGACACTAAATAGTTAAAGTTCTACCACACAGCACTTATTGTGGGTTTTTCACTAGTCCTGCCTAGTGACACATATAGAAAAACAAGGAAGGCAAATATTTGTATTTAATCATGGTTGACATTTTACCTTGATGGCTAATTTATTTTTTTCATTCATATATTTAACTCCTGAGTGCATATTTTTATAGTGCCTACAAAATAAAATACATATTTTAAAGGTAAATTACACTGTACTTGTAATTAATTGGTTTTTGTTTTTTAAATAATGATTCACCTTAGGGACACTTTGTAATACTTTGTAGCTATACAATGCATCCTGAAACATACTGACCTCTCACCTTTCATTCTTAAGGTTTTAAGGAATTTATATTATTATCATTTTTAATTTTCTCAGCTGAGTCTGCTCTGTTTCCAAGCTACAAATTAAACAGACCAACAATAACAACAACAAACTCAAGGAAGTGAATATTCTTTTTCCTTTCTTAATTGTTTTAAAATACCCTATAGTATACTGTGAATATCTATGAAGCTAACACCATTTTATTATCAGGAGAATGAAATGTTTAACCCCAGTAGAACACATTTATCTTCAAATATTCTTAATGACTTCCAGATTGCTCTGCTATTCCTTCCTTGCCTAGTGGTAATGGGTTAAAGGCAGCAGGAATTGGCTATATTATAATTAGGGAATATCTAGGGGAAAATTCTCAAATACATCAGGACATCAGACATTATTGAGTCTCATTGCAGCTACTCCTTCAAGAGCAATTGAGATCAAAGATCTTCAGAGCTCCTTCCTCTTTCACCCATGAGATATTAAAAACCAAGGTACCGCATATTCTTGACTCTGAAGGTCATTTTACAGTTTTAGTTTGAATGTCAAGTTATAAAAATAGGACAACTAGTTTCTTTGTAACCCTCGGCTTTGCTTAGAAATGTCAGATTGACTTTAGATGGTTAAACTTACATGGCATATCAGTTATACTCAGTACATAGATGAATAAGACATCATGATATGAACTTGAACCCAAATAAAACCCACAAAATTATATTTACAAAAGGAAATACTTACTATATTCACAGTTCCTTAACAATATTTTGCCTTACTTTTCTAAAGTTAAAAATAGTAGAAACAGACTTCTGGTTTCCAGTTCTACCTGTAAGGAGATTGAAAGTTGCCATTTCCATCCTAACAACAAGTAAAAAGCTGAAGAGGATGAAAAATCAACCATTCTTCTTGTATTCTTAAGAGAAGTGAAGACACACAAATTGTTGTCCCCAAGATTGTGGAGAAGAATACAGGGAGTCAAGGAGTGAAAACTTACATAGGAACCAACAATAGAGTAGGAAAATCTGAACAGTAATTGATGACTCACTAGGGGCTCCATGTGGGCAAGTCTAAGAGGTTAAAACTCCAGGGCATCCAGTTATAAAGCAGTCAGTCCCCCATGTTTTGTGAGTTTTATCTCTAGTGGTTTGAGCATGTTCTTATAGGGAATATAAGAGAAAAATATAATGTATCTGGCAGAAGAAGAAAAAACAATTTCTAAATTCACCAGAATACTCTATTCTTCTTAACATGGGCTGTCCTCAAGAGAAACTGTAAGCTGAGCCTGACCTACTGGGTTTTTTTCAGAACCTGACTGATCTAGGAGAAGTAGCCCATGCTAGACCATCTCTAGCCACCCAGTTCCACCCAAGGAACAATGTCTGAAAGCACTTGTGAAGTTCAAGTCCGAAGGCCCAGACTCACTAAAAGACTGAAATCTAACCTTGAGACTCTAGAACACTTCCTTTCCCCCAAACTTTACCATAGCGTTCATAAAAACCTTTTTACAGCTATTTCTTTTGTCCAGCACATCATGTCTGTCAATCAAGAAAAAATGACATGACATGCTAAAAGACAAAAAAAAAAAAAAATGCAATTTGAAGGCATCAGAACTTTACTAAGGTTATTGGAATTATCAGATGGGGAATTTAAACAACTACAATTAATATACTGGAGGCTCTAATGGATAAAGTAGACAGTATAAAAGAACAGATATGTAATCTTAGCAGAGAGACTGAAATTCTAAGAACAAACCAAAAAGTAATGCAAGAGATCAAAAACATTGTAACAAAAATAATGTTTTTGATAGGGTTATTAGTAGACTGAACACTGCTAAAGAAAGTATCTCTGAGCTTTAGGATATACATGAAAAAATAAAAACTGAAGAGCAAGGAAAATGAAGAATAAAAACCACCAGAATGGAATATCCAAGGACTGTAGGACAACTAAAACAGGTAGTCATATATGTAATGGGAATATCAGAAGTAGAAGAAAGAGAGAAAAAATACAATCATATTTGAGATAATAATAACTGATAATTTTCCCAAATTAAGTTCAAACACCAAACCACAAATCCACGAAGCTTAGCGTACACAAAGTAGGATAAATGCTGAAGGTGGGTTAAAAATAAAAAAAGAAAACCAAAGCTATACTTAGGCATATCATTTTATAAATACAGAAAATCAAAGGAAAATAATCCTGAAAAAAGCTAAAGAAAAAAACATTACCTGTAAAGGAATAAAGTTAAGACTTATATCTGACTTTTCCTCACAAGCCACGCAAGCAAGAAGAGAATGGAGTAAAATATTTAAAGCATTCAGACAGAAGGAAAAAAAATTGAATTCTGTTCCATGCAAAATTATCCTTCAAAAGTAAAGGAGAAATAAAGACTTTCTCAGACAAACAAAAATTGAGGAAATTTATTCCAGTAGACCTGCCTTGCAAGATATGTCAAAAGGCATTCTTTTGAGAAAAAGAAAATAGTATAGGTCAGAAATTTTGATCTTCATAAAGAAAAAAACATTAAAGAATAAACTGGTAAAATAAAAAATTTTATTGCCTTTTTTTTTTTTTTTTTTTTTTTTTGAGACAGAGTCTTGCTCTGTCGCCCAGGCTGGGGTGCAGTGGCCGGATCTCAGCTCACTGCAAGCTCCGCCTCCCGGGTTTAGACCATTCTCCTGCCTCAGCCTCCCGAGTAGCTGGGACTACAGGAGCCCGCCACCTCGCCCGGCTATTTTTTTGTATTTTTTAGTAGAGACGGGGTTTCACCGTGTTAGCCAGGATGGTCTTGATCTCCTGACCTCGTGATCCGCCCGTCTCGGCCTCCCAAAGTGCTGGGATTACGCCTTATTTTTAATTTATCTAACACATAGCAGTTTTCTCAAAATAATAATAGCAACAATGTATTTTTAAGCATTATGTATATATGTATATGTACTAATTTCATTATGTATGCTTCCATATATATCATATAAACATATATAATATTTGGTAGATAAATAGATGATAGATGATAGATAGATGATAGATAGATAGATAGATAGATAGATGATAGATAGACATACTTCTTTATATAGATTTTACATTCATCCCATCAGGTTCTATAATGTGGTAGATTTATTTAACAGAACTTTTTTTCTGTATTTTGCTTTGCCTACTCTATCGTATTTAATCTCCCCTTTTTTTTAATCATGCAGATAAGATAAACATTACCATTACGTTTATCTTTCTTTCCCTAAATGTGAAACTACTCAGAGTTTTACTTAGTTTATCAATATATTTAATGCCATACAATGGTTCCTGTTGAATTTTGATAAAGGAAAGCTGCTCAGGCAGGTGATAAAAAATTTTCTGGAAAATGTCCTTCTCTAGTAGCATATATAAAGAAAGGATATCTTTCACAAAAGAAAATATAAAAAACTAGAATATGGGGTTAAATAAACTCATCTTGGGAGTTCTTTACTGTTCAGTTAAGAACATTAGGTTAAATTCCTTAGTTCTAGCCTTTATAGTTTAATCTGTGCTGATTTAATCTTATTTAAGCTAGAGAACATCACTAAACACCACAGTTCCTTAATTATGCCAGACATTAATATTATGAAAAAAATGAGAAGAGATTGTTTTTCTGTATTGAATTTTTTAAATCTTTATGAGCTAAAATTTATTCTGAGAATGAAAGATGATTATGCTTGGATAGTCTGATTCCAGGCAGTCACCTCCACTTTTCATCACTTGCTGTTTATCATCTAATATTGTTGCCTAGAGCAAAGTCTTTGTACTGGACAGCCTCCAATATATGCCTCAGTGACTCCTGCACCCTGGTATTTACACCCTTGTGTAACTTCCTCCCACTGACTGTGGACTGTACCTAGTGACTTGCTTTTAACAGATAGAATATGTCAGAATCATGGGATGTAACTTCCGAAATCTTGCTTTCTCTGTTAGTCCCTCTGAGGGAAGCCAGTTACCAAGTTGTGAGCTGCTCTATGGAGAGGCCCACGTGGCAGAGAAATAACGTCTTCTGCAACAGCCAACGGGGAGGGTCTTAGGTCTGCCAACGGCCACATGACCGAGCTTGGAAGTGAATCTTCTGAGCCGGCCAACAACCCACGTAAGTAAGCTTGAAATGGATCCTTCCTCTTTCAAGACTTTAGATGAGAGCAGCTCCAACTGATAACTAGATTTGAGCCTTGAGAGAGATCCTAAACAGGAGGACAAGCTAAGCCATCTGTAGACTCTTGATCCAGAAAAACTGTGCAATAACAAAGGCTTGTTGCTTTAAAATGTGAAATTTTGAGGTATTTTATTACCTGGAAACAGTTATCTTATACAGTCCTGAAATCTACATCTATATAAAAAGGTTCTCCATTTTATTCTGACCTAGAAGATCCACTACTTTTTGCAGTCCTTTTGGCAAATGCTGGTATACGTACATTCTGAGTTTTCTGAAAAAATGAATTTTTTTCCCTAGACTTCCTAATCTCTCTATAAATAGCTTCCACTGTGTTCTCGAAGTTATAGGGGGCAAGAGTATACTATAAAATCCCCTTAATTCATTTTATTCTATGTACATTTTTTTCAGTGTTTTGCCACCAACTTCATGAAATCAACTTTGGCAATTTCTGCCATTGCTGTTCTATGCTCTGAGAATTCTTCCATGTATCTCTGTTCTCCATAATGCCAATAAATCTCATTCTTCATACTTCTTCACACTTAACCTCTTATAAATGCTTGTATCTACTTTCTAGTAAAGTAGTACCAACCATATTCAAAGATTCCCTTAGGTACACCACATCATATGCTTAAGCCTTTATTTTTAGTTCTAGTTGCCAATCCTTCTTATATTACCTTAATTTTATTCAAATTAGCCTTTTCAAAAATTTATAGAATAAATTTATGAATGTAAAAAACATAGGAAGAGACACAGTCCTTTCTTCTGATCCCACTTTTTTTTTTTTCATTTCATGATCATGGCCTATCCTTTTGGAACTTTAGTAATTTATGCTACTTTAGTAATTTATGGTTTATATATTTTGGTCTGTGTTATTTCCTAATATTAACTACCATAACATTTATTTTAGCTCTCACCTTTTAGTAATGCATCACTGCATTGCAAGTTATATTGTCTGTCCCTCTAATCTTCTCTTGAAGCTCAATTTTCTGAATTTTAGACATACAGGTTTTATTAAACCCAGCCTACCTGCTGATAATGCCAAGTTTCTACATTTGAAATACATGCTCTCAGGTCTACACTTCCCAGAGTTTCAGAGTTTAAATGCACAACAATCACCTTCTTGTCAGGTACAAATGTCACTATACCTTTTGATAACTATGCCACAGTGTCATGACTGGTCTATATTCTGGTCTGCTTTTGTGTACCTCCTCCTGTCTTATTGATTCATAATTTCTATAATTCCTATTCAGAAGCTATGCTTCTATATAGTTATATGTGGCATTTTTTAAGTGAGTCACTTTGGGATTTTTACATGCATGTCTGTGAATTCGTTATTTTAGTAAAAAGAAGCCTGAAAGAGATGGGGGTGAGAGGAGAGAGGAGAGAGAGTGAAAGAGAGAAAGAAAGTCTATGCCTATTTTGAAGAGTGTCTCTTCTCTGCTCTGAAGAATAATGAGGACCAGTGAAGTTACGAGTAAAGAACTTTAGGAGGTGGAAGAAAATGTTTGTTCCAGAACATAGGAACAGGATAATTTTAAGACAGCCAAAAGAGCCTAACATGCATATATAGAGCTCTAGGATCCCAGTCATAAGTTCCTGCTAATTAACTTGAATGGCTCAACACTACATTTCAGCATATTACTCTCCCATATCCTTACCTCATTTCCCATGTTATTAGAAATTCAGAAGGAACTTGAGAATTTCTTTTCTTCTGAATGACGTTTTGAATTCCATATTGCCAGAAGAAATACACAACTCAATGATCCCAACCCTTACTCATGCATCCACTGAGAGTCTATGTAAAATGCTGTAGTACATATGGGGAAGAAATACATGGGTATGAAAAAAATTGTGTGCCCTATTTGACCTTAAAATCTATATAAAGGCAAATTAAACACAACTCTATTTCCCATACTTCAGTAGCAGAATTCTAATTTCTTGACAAAATCACATAATTGTACTAATCAATAAATTATCCAATTTAATACTCAGATTTCATATATGTAAAAATTGAAAAACAGAGGTTAAGTGACTCATCCAAGGAAGGCTACAAATTTTAGAAACAAAGGAAATAGAGTCTAGAAGCTATGTCATCTGGAAGCTAGCAGAGTTTACGGTTTAGGAAAATCAACCTTCAATTTGACCAAACTGGGATTTAAAGCACAATTTTGATTATTAGTATTGCTTATCTTAAAATCATTTCCTCACCTGTAAAACAGGATGATATTACTCTATAGCTCGTAAAAATGCTGTGTGAATTAAATGAGATGATACTTGTAGAACACAACTGAGCTTGGTACCTTGCCAGCATTCAATAAATATTAATTGCTACCAACTTCTAATATTAGTCTGACTTCCAAGTTAATGTTCTACCTAGGAAACAAGTCTCTTGATAAGCTTAAAATTTCTCGGCTATTTTATAGATAATAGATGGAAAGAATACTGCCCCTCTTGCTGGCATTCACACTTTTAGTACTCAGCTAACTAAAATTTGTATGCCTTATTGCTTCAGCCATTACACCTCAGAGTGGATTTGACAGATAAAACAAGACAGGCCATTACATTTGAATTTATTAGAAATTCGCTTTTCACTGGGTGTCTTGAATTTTCATTTGTTAAATCTGGAATCCCTACCTCAAAGACTATTTAAATATAACGGTACCAATACATCTTCCAAATTTCTGTCACTGCTATGTAAGCATAAGCAATTTCAGTCAAGTATCAGTTAAAGATCTACTTAAAGTTTTTCAATATTATCTCAGATATGCTTTCTCAATATTTCATTATTTGAATAAATTTAGGCACAACAAAGCTTAGACCTCAGTGTGTAAGCATATCCTTAAGCTACAAATCTCATTTACCAAGATCAATGGCTTTTTTTTTTTTTTTGCAAAAACCAATATTAGTGATTCAGAAGAGAATTTTAGCTCATGATGTCCTTTTTATTTCCCCCTAAGAGCTATAAAGGTGGATAAAATTAAAGATAGGAGGTTTATTGCTGCTTGTTGAAAGCATTTATTTTAGAAAACTTTTAATTAAGTTCTTTCTCTGCTTCTTTGAAATTGATGTAAATGTTTTTTAAAGCTAAATAAGCCCCTTGCCAGATTGATGACCCAGGAATGTCTCAATCAAGGACCTGGAAACCACCTCTTGAAATGTAATCATCAAGGAAGACAGTTCCCAATCATCAAGGAAGACCTCCCAATTTCTGTAGGAGGGCAGGAGTCTAACTTTGGCCAATGCCTTGCTCAAAACTAACTCTTGTCATAAAGATATGGGAAATGTATTTTTTTTCCTTTGGATAAAGCAAGTTAACAAACTCAGATGGCCACCCCAATTACCAGGGGTGGTCATCCATGTGAACGGTGACAAATGGCGCTGTCAAGTCCTCTTGAGAACGAGATATTGTTTATCTTAAGAACATGCATGTAATAGGCTATATCTGCTTTGCTATATAAAAAGGAAAGATGTCTTTTGTCTTTGCAATCTTTCAGTGGATTGCCTGTGCTGTGTATCACATTCTGGTTTAACGTTTATTCAGTAAGAAAATTGTTTTCTTCTGTTTCTACCCTGTGGAGAGGTTTTCTGAAGTGAGAGGGGATTTTGTTTTAAATTATATTTCTCCAACACTTTAATTTCAGGCCACAGTGAATCTGGACTGGTTCCTCTGGTTTGTAACAGTGATTTTTGGTTTAAAAGTCAATGAGAGGATGGCATGTAAATTTGTTTCCAAAATGAATAAATAAAAAAGAGGTTTTCACAAATAAATGCTAATTTTCTGCGTAGTCTAGTCCATCCACACCACAGGAATAATCTTCCGCTTCCTTACTTTCTATCTCTGCTTTTGATAAAAAGTTTTGAGGATATAAAATATCTCTTGCTCAACAAGCAGTATGGACAAAGAAATGCTGTAAATGACTTTGAGATCCATGTGTAAGTATCTATTGGTAACTGAAATTAGAAAACTCTTCTCGAACTAATCAAGAAGTGAAGTGTTCAGCAGATCATGAGCCAAAAAAAGTAATTATTTGCAATGAAGAAAATGTTTTTAAAAGACACTAAATTTTCTGAACATTTCAGAGAAAATTTTTTTCTTATTTACCAAAGTTCTTTATTTTAATGGTTTCTTCTACTTCACATATAAAACAGGTATAACCTTGCTGGAAAAGCTTATATAAATAACCAATATTGATGATATTCTTGAAATCATGTTTTGATAATGGTATGTTTTACTTAGAACAAAGCAATTTCCACAACTTTCATTCAGAATCCTCCAGACAAAACTAGTTTTTGCTCCAGTCTTCTGCTAATAGCAAAACAGTAAGTTGTATGAAACTTTCTAACTTGAACCAGTAAAATCTTTGAAAATTATTGGTATAGCCCCCAAAATTGTAATGATATTACACTTCAATTTGCCCATGTGTGTTTCTATTGTCTACTGTCAATAGCAACATAAATTTTAAAATACTGCCACTTTCATCATTTTCTCAGCCTATATCAATTGATATAAAAAGCTTTTCTTCATCTGCCTGCATTGTGGTCCTCCACATTAAATAGCAATCACCTAAAATGCAAAAGAGCAATCATTATAAATTGACCTAATCATTCATTATGGCACGATTCATTCTCTAGGAGAACATCATAACAGCTCATAGATTTGATATGTAAATACTAACTTTTGTTATTTTTCCAAAGGAGGGGTATCAGACTATGTGATATATATACATATACGTATGAATATATATTTCTTCTTGAAATAAAAGTTGTGCAATTTTATTAAGCTTTTATTTTATAAAAGGCAAAATCAATAATCTATGTAGCCAAGTGAAAGGCAATTTCAAACAATTTTATGTGAAATTAAATTTTTATAGCTTTTTTTCTCTCCCACAAATTCTAACAAGAAAAATAGTGTCTTCTCAAATGTTAAGACAAATATT